GCAACTGCGGCAGCGGTAGCGGGGAGATTGCCTTCTTGGGTTTTTAGATCTGAAGACCAGTGGATCTTTTGGGAGGAGGATGCTTTCCTGCACTTGTGAAGAGAGGCGGATCTGGAGGAGGATGAGGAGACGTACTCCTCGAACTTCTGCTGGTTGAATTCAAATTTGACCTCTTCATTCACCAGGATCTTGATCGTTGGTTGTATCACGACAGCTTCGACAGCGAAGCTGTTAGCTCCCACTGTGGTCGCCAGCTTGTTTGGGGAGAAAATCGATTTGTTTAATGTTGTGTTTATTACAACCTCAAACGTTACAATGAAAACAAAAGTTAGTCTTTTTATAAGACCTTTACACAATGAAAATAAAAAAAAGTACAACTCTCATTAAACTGCACAACGGATGTTTATCGCCTGCTGCTTGCGTGGGATCTTGGCATGTGACGGGGACATTAGTATCCGTGGACCACCAAATGATCAGATCAAATCCGGAGCTTCGTTGATTCACGAGGGAATCAGGAAGCCGAAGCAATTATCTTGGCAACGGCGAGATAATCACTCTTCTCAAGATCACTGTAACGGGACAATCTCAAGGCAAAGGACTGGGAAGTATAGATCTGACGAGCTCCTCTTCTTTATGCCGACAAACTTGATTTGATCTCCTTCTCCATTCTGAAATTTGTGCTCCTTTAGTCTTCAATTTAGCAGGGCTTCGCCAATGTTCGAGAATTCCAGATCTGAAAAAATGAAGGCCCTGGAGCTGTATTTATAGGCTTTGGGACCTCTATTTTCGGATAAGAATGATCAATTCATTCTTATCTTCAGTTGTAACCACTTTATCATGTTCTTGGATAGATTCAGATCAGTTGGAACAAATCCAGGTGGTTAACATTAAAAAACAACTTAAAACTGTCAAAAATCGATTTTCGGGGCTGCTGACACCTGTGGGTGTCTCAGCTTGGCCGAGACACTCGTACGATCTCGAAATAAGTTGATCCAAGATGTATTAGAAAGCTAACAAGGAGCTCTACAACTTTTATCTTTTAAGCTTCTTCAAATTCAAAGAGAATTATAATCAAAACAGCTCTATAAGTTCCGAGACACCTATGGGTGTCTCGGCTAAGCCTTGGCCGAAACACCAGTGGGTGTCTCGGGTATTTTAGCTCTATCTCTCTCATATGATCTCGGAATGAGTTTATCTAAGATGTATTAGAAAATTAACAAGGAGTTCTACAATTTTTATCTTTTGAGCTTCTTTAGATTTAAATCGAATCATAGTCAAAACAGCTTTATAAGGTCCGAGACACCTATGGGTGTCTTGGCCAAGCCTTGGCCGAGACACCAGTGGGTGTCTCGGGTATTTTGGTTCTAACTTTCTCATATGACCTCCAAATAATATTATTCAAGACGCATTGGAAAGATGATGAAGATATCTACAACTTTTTTCTTTTCATCTTCTTCATATTCGAATCGAATCATGACCAAAATCTCTATTCCTCTCCGAGACACCAACACTGTCTCGGAATTCTAAGGCACTTTGTACTATCTTTGGTATTTTGGCTTTATCTCTCTCATACGATCTCAGAATGAGTTGATCCAAGATACGTTAGAAAGATAATAAGGATATCTATAACTTTCATCTTTTTATCTTCTTCAGATTATAAGGTAGTCAAAACAGCTCTACAAAGTCCAAGATACCTCTTGGTGTCTCAGCCAAGCCTTGGCCGAGACACCAGTGGGTGTCTCGGGTATTTTAGCTCTATTTCTCTCATACGATCTCGGAATGAGGTGATCCAAGATGCATTAGAAATTTAACAAGGAACTCTACAACTTTTATCTTTTGAGCTTTTTTAGATTTAAAGCAAATCATAGTTAAAATAGCTCTACAATGTCCGAGACACTTATGGGTGTCTCGGCCAAGCCTTGGCCAAGATACTAATGGTTGTCTCGGGTATTTTGGTTCTAACTTCCTCATATGACCTCTAAATAATATGATTCAAGATACATTAGAAAATGGATGAAGATATCTATAACTTTTATTTTTGAGCTTCTTTATATCCGAATCGAATCATGACCAAAATCTCCATTCCTCTCCGAGACACCAACACTGTCTTGGAATTCTGATGTAGTTTGTATTATCTTTGATATTTTAGCTTTATCTCTCTCATATGATCTTATAATTAGTTGATCCAAGATGGCATTAGAAAGCTAACAAGGATATCTATAACTTTTATCTTTTGATCTTCTTCTGTTTCAAAGTGAATCATAGTCAAAACAGCTCTAAAAGGTCCGAGACACCTATGGGTGTCTCGGCCAAGCCTTGGCCGAGACACCTCTTGGTGTCTTGGCCAAGCTTTGGTTGAGACACCTATGGGTGTCTCGTTGAAGCCTGGAGCACTGTTCCATGCATTCTGTCCATTTCGCCGTATCTTCGTCATTCGAACTTGGAATCACGTGATTCAAAATGCGTCGGAAAGCCGATGAGGAGATCTACGAGCTTCCATGATTGAATCATATGTGGAGTAAACAGGGTATGAGGGGCACTTTGTTTTTCGTAAGCGAAGTGTAGCTCCTAACCCATTCGTGTTTCCGTTATTCCGAAGTTCCGTTGCTTTGCATGGTTCGTTGACTCACTTCATGCGCTTGTCATCGTTAAATGAGTTTCTGTGACTCGGATAGCAACGTTCATCGTCTTCTCTTTGTCTCGAGCTGCGTGCGGGAACCTATAGGTATTTTTAGATGCCTATAACATATTAGTTATTTCCATTTTCAGATCCACCATAGATAAACTGAAGATATAGCTTTCTAGCTAGTTTGAAATGAAGGATTTGAGTGAAGCAAAATGCATTTTGGGAATGGAGATTGACAGAGACAGAGATAATGACATAATTTGTTTAACACGGGTGGCTTATTTGAAGAAGGTATTACAGCGATTCAATGTTAGTATAGAGATGAAGTCAGTCATTGTACCTTTGGGAGACCATTTGAAGCTTTCAGCTGATCTTTCACCGAAGTTAGTTGAAGATAAAGCATTGATGTCGAAGACTCCTTATGCAAGCACATTGGGAAGTTTAATGTATGCAATGGTATGTACAAGGCCGGATCTATCACATGCAGTTAGCATGGTTTCACGATACATGCATGACTTGGATCCGGGTCATTGGGATGCTATGAGGTGGATATTGAGGTACATTCAAGGTACTCTCAATGTTGGTTTGATGTTTGATTAGGACACTGGTGGTGGCAGTTATGCATTAGATACGTAGTTTCCGACTATGCTGGAGATTTAAATAAGTGCCGGTCGACGATGGGGGTATGTGTTCACCTTAACCCGTGTGCCGGTGTGTTGGAGAAGCACCTTGCAGCCTGCAGTTGCTTTGTCGACGATAGAGGCAGAGTATATGGCGATTACAGAGGTTGTTAAGGAGGCAATTTGGCTTCGAGGACTTTTGGAAAACCTTAGTGTTTCATAGCGGTCTGTCACCATTCATTGTGATAACATGAGTGCTATCTATTTGGCAAAGAATCAAGTTTTTCATGCGAGGACAAAACATATTGACGTTCCCTATCACTTCATCCATGATGTTCTTGAAGATGGTGATGTGGAGTTTGTGAAGGTCCACACCAAAGACAACCCAGCAGATATGCTCACGAAGGTGGTCCCTAGCAGCAAGTTTGATCATTGTAGAGATTTGTTGCACATTTGTGCTTGTTGAGGCTGTTGAGGCCATTTGGATGAACTACGAGCGGTTTGATCCTTAGGAGAGGGGGTACGTAGAAAACCACATTAGTGCAGTCGGATTTGGAGAGACAACATGTTGGTACTCTTATTGGTGTCGGCTCAGTTTTGAGAATACTTCGTCGATGTGGAGAATTGTTGAAAAAGACATGGAACAAGAAAAAACTCTGGTCGGTCGACTGTTAGAAATAACCAGTCAACCGATACATGCACACTGCAGGAACGGAAAAATGTCACACTGGACAGTCGACCGATGAAGGCATTCGGTCGACCGATGAATACCTACTGGTCGATTGATGCATCCCTATCAGTTGACAGATAGCGAGTTGAACAGATATATCAGTTTCCCAGTCTGTTTTGGTTTAGGGTTTTACATATTAAAGGCACGTTTTGTTAGGGTTTTTTATTTAGAGAGAAGAGGTTATTATCAGAGTTTTTTGAGCACTTTGAGAGGGAGATTCTTTGAGGGAGAGTAAGATTTTATTGATTAGGGTTATTGTGATTGTTTGAGAGTTGTAACTCATTGTATTTCTCCTCCATATAGTATAATCTCCCCATCATCTCCCCGTGGACGTAGGCAATTTGTCGAACCATGTATATCTCTGTGTTTGTGATTGATTTTGGCTGCTCTATCATGGATTGTGTTCATGGTGTTCTTCGTTCATTGCTTATCGACTCGTTGTGGTTTGAGTCCGCCTTTCGCGGGGCTCATCAAGCCTTAGGCATGTACATGACATGAAAGCGATCTCCTAGTAACATTGTACATATTTTATCACGGAAAATGGCGACTCTTTCACGCTGCAGCTGAATAAAGTCTTTTGGTTCGAACGATTTTTGTATATCCTATGACAAATTTCATGAAAACCCTCCGCAACTTTGTGGCATTGCCCAAAAATCCCCTTCCTGACTTCGTTTTCTCACTTAACCTCAAAATATCCAAAGAGTCTCAAATAAGAGTCAAACCATGAAAACCCTAAAAAAACATGGAAATAGCAGAGAATGAGCTGCATAAAAAACAAAAAATAAAGAACAAAATTGAGCAGATCCTCCACCAAGGTATACTTTTTGGAGCGCTCTTGTGGGACAGTTTAAGAGTTCTCAATGATTGTGTGAGAAACTTTGGACTTTTGGGGTTAAATGGCAAAAACAAAGTTTTAGAAATCTTTGTGAAGAACGACCCAAAGTTTTGAGGGGTTCTGTGAAATTTACCTCCCTTCTTAAAGGCCCACCAGAAGATGGGCCTAATCTGCCTGTTTGGAGGGGAAGCGTACCGGCGACGTTACGCGGCTCATCTCCACAAGTTAATCTTATCGGCTCATCTTAAAACTCTCCGTCTCCCGCCATGAAAAAACCCTAATTTTTTTCCCACCCAAAACTCTATCTCCCCTTTTATCCGATCTCGAATTCAGCCACATCCTCAGGTTTGTTCTTCTATGGAGCCCTACGCCCCTTACTCAATTTGTCCTCTTGATTTTTTCTTTTTAGAAATTGCATCGAAGTTGATAAATTTAGTTTTTCTTATTGATATTGCGTTGGGAGCTGCAACAAAATTCGATATTTTTAAAGGAAACTGAGTTATAACAACTAGTTATGTATGATGTATTTCGGTAAAAATAAAAATAAAATAAAAGTCCTCGCTGTTTTAGAGGAATTGAGTTACTGCAAATGGACATGTTTAGTTTCACTACAATTGCGAAAAGACATTTGTAAATAATGCATTATGGGAATATTATTGTTGGGAGATTGCAGGAGAAAAATGGTTGCTACTAAGATATGTCAAAAGGGCCCTGCCATTGCACCAGTACTCCGAAGTTTATGGGGAGGGTTGAGGGTTATAATTTTACATTCTAAACATGCACTCGCTGGTGGAGGATCCTTTTAGGACAGAAACCTGAACTCACGCAATGGTATTAAATTTTTTTTTTAAAATCAATTTAGAAACTCGGGGCCAAGATTTGAATCTGGATACCATGTTAAAGGACTTTGCCGCTACACAAAAACTCTGAAGTTGTGGTGATGGTTGAGGGTTATAATTTTGTATCTTCTAAGAGGATAATATAATATACCGTTAATTGGGATTGTGAAAACTGGGCAATTTCCTATGGTTGAAACTAGGCCTTGATATTTTAAAACCCAATATGCATACAATATTAACAGCATTGTTCAAACGTGTACATGATACTAGTTCTTAAGTAAGAAGTTAGCACCAAGCCTTACTATAATAAATAGAGGGGCAACCCTGCTCGTTAAACAAGCAAGTAAGAAAAGAAAGGGTGTCGAGGGCCAACTGGCGTTTGGTGTCTGCGAGTTCTGATGGAAGTAAGGTGTGTGCAGCTGCATGCCACTTCTATCAGTGTTCTTAATTAACTTGTTTCTCTTGTGAACAAGCTCTCTCATTCTACTCACTTGGATTTTCATGTACGAACCCTGATAGCTGGTAAATGAAGTCAAATCCTAGCTTGTGAAGAATCTCTCTTTCCTGGCACCGCAAGGGTCCTGTTTTTCCCCCTTCATGTTCTTCTAACTATTTCCCCCTAATTTATGTTTAGCTTCCTTGGGTACTTCAGTCCATTAAATGATGGCATCCAGTATGTCCACATGCCGTTATCGTTGGGATGGAAACCCAGTGTCACACCGGCAATTATTGCCTAGAAGCAGTATAAGACTATACCAGATTTCAGGACATAGTCTGTGGAGAGAAGCCCAGATCTACTGTTGTCTGTCAGGGCAACAAAGGTTGCAGCATATATGCGGCAGGAGAAATCTTGCCGTGTGTGCATCTAGAAGGTCCTTCATGAACATAATCAGTGCAGAGGTAGTTACCACATATTAATTCTCAAATTATAGGCCTTACATAGTGCCTAAGTGCCTTGGAGGTATTGACATGCTAAGAAAATTGTTTATTCATGGTGAGTCACAGGTGGAGGAAGTGGACCTTTCTCTAGGACCTCTATGGAACATGATGAAGCGATGGCGGCAAGCACATGTTATTGCCATGGTTGGGGTACTATCATATGCCTTATTATCTATTCCATCGGCTGGTGCAGTTGACGCACTTAAAACATGCACTTGTTTATTGAAGGAATGCAGGTGATCCACCCATAACTCCTTTGGCTGCGTGCTGTTTTTTTAAATCTGCAAGCCGAACATATGTAATGGTGATGCATGTAGCCAGATAGAGTGTGTAACACTTATATAGATACTCCTCTTATGTATTGCACATTTCTTAATGTAGAATGCTTGGACAGAGTAGTAGGCCATTTTGCCTTTTTTATACATTTTTTTAATGCTAAATGTTTTATATGCATATTTACTTATGTAACCTATCTCTTCTGCAAAATAAAAAAATGTGCAATACGCTAAAATTTTAGTACATATTTAAGTGTTGAGTGTAATTAGGTAAAATGTTTATGCTCTCTGGTGCATGGACATGTCTCTGTCTGTATCATGCATAAGTGAACTCTTTAGCAAGTTAATGAACCTTACTGATTGAAGGGGTATTTGCACCCCATGTCTTCTCCAACGAGCACCTGCTGTGTTATTAGCAGTCATTATGTAGGTGAAAGATTCATGGAACCTGTGGAAAATTTGAAAATTGCAAATGATTTCAACATTACAATTTCAATAATGACAGATGTATGCACGTATTTATGCACCCATGAATAACTTTGGGAAAAACTGTAAGCTGTTATCCATGATTACAAATGAATTCATATCAAACTAAAAGAAAATGAAGGGTGGATTGAATTCAATAAAAAAACAAGAATGTTTGAGTTTATTAAATTTTAGAGCAAATGCATTTTTCTTATTACGGTTGAGAGATGGTTTGTCACGGTAATTATAGCAACTTTTAAGATTTAAATATTTTATTTTTTTATGATAGAGGGACTATTGCCTCGAGAATATCCAGTTTCGTTTTGCTCTGGATTCTCTTTTGTGGGAGTGTATATTAGTGAAACACTGATTATATGCTACAATCTACATCAGAAGTTAATTCAATATATTTTTGTTCCAGGGTGGAACTTGCCAAGTGCATTGCCAACCCTTCTTGTGCAGCAAATGTTGCATGTCTACAAACATGTAATGACCGACCTGATGAAACTGAATGTCAGGTTGTAATTGGATTCTCTTTTAAACTGTGGATATATTTTCCATGTTAGATACAGATCATTAAGTGACTTATTATTTTTAGGTTCTACCTTTTGTAGATTAAATGCGGGGACTTGTTTGAGAATAAAGTTGTAGATGAATTCAATGAGTGTGCAGTCTCACGCAAAAAATGTGTACCCAAAAAGTCTGATGTTGGCGAGTTTCCTGTACCAGACCCATTGAACCTCGTCAAAAGCTTTAACATGTCAGATTTCAGTGGGAAGTGGTACATAACAAGTGGCCTTAATCCCACATTTGATACATTCGACTGTCAGCTGCATGAATTTCATGTGGAGTCAAACAAACTTGTTGGTAATTTGACATGGCGGATACGGACTCCTGATGGTGGTTTCTTCACCCGATCAGCTGTACAAAATTTTGTTCAAGATCCTAATCAACCAGGAATACTCTACAACCATGACAATGAGTACCTGCATTACCAAGATGACTGGTAAGTGACATGCTATCACTGTCCTAATTCATGCATTATTGTATCATTATCTGCATTTTTGAAGTTTTGATTTTATAAAAAGGACTTTAAAAACTGACCCTTAAAACATATGAGCGGTGTTTCACATATTAGTTTATACATGATTTGGAGTGCCGTGTTCCACTGTGTGCTTCTCATTGCAGAAATAATATTTACACCGTCTCTAAACAATTTTCTAGCACACATATCTAAAATAAATGGAAACAATTTAACTCCTATATCTAATTATCTCAAGAGGTTAGGTCTGATGTGCAATAGTCTTATGCTTTTAAACCAATCAAATTAAAAAAAAAAATCAAATTGATTAATATAAGAAGCTTTCTATTTTTCATGTTATTAGCTTGATTCTGGTGATCCTCAAGCTTACCTCTTGAGATTATGTTATGCCTCCAAGGCAAATGCAGTTTCCTAAAAGCTATTTTATCATCTTTACCCTTATGGGCTATTTTGTAATTGTGAAAATCATTTGTTTCTTCTGAAAGAAGTTTAGAGAAAGTCCTAATTGCACATACGATACACTTAAATTTCCCCCATCTCCATGAGCAACATACTGATACCCAAGCTCATCTAAGGACGTTAGAGCTAGGGAAGGGACAAGATATCACATTGCTCTATACGAAGACCAGGACAATTTATTTAGCGATGCCACCCATATCTTAACAATTTAATTTTCATTAAACAGTATCTTATATTGAGCAATTACTTTTAACATAATCTTTCAAAGTGATCAGAAATATCTACTTGAAACCATAGTATCGGGTATCTATAGGTATATCATATCATCCAGCATTGAGAACAAACCTGAAGACTACATCTTTGTATACTATCGAGGTCGAAATGATGCATGGGATGGCTACGGAGGTGCAGTCATATACACTAGAAGCTCAACATTGCCGGAGACCATAATCCCCAAACTAGAGAAGGCAGCTCAAAGTGTAGGCCGAGACTTCACTAAATTCATCACAACAGATAACTCCTGTGGACCCGAGCCTCCTCTTGTTGAGAGGTTAGAGAAAACTGTGGAAGAAGGGGAAAAGACTATAATTAGAGAAGTCGAAGAGATTGAAGGAGAAGTTGAAAAGGTTGGAGAGGAGGAAGTGACTTTGCTTCAGAGGCTTGCAGATGGAATCATGGAGGTGAAGAGAGATGCAGAGAATTTTTTCAAGGGTTTGGGGAAGGAAGAGATGGAGCTTTTGGATGAGCTCAAGATGGAGGCAACTGAGGTTGAGCAGCTTTTTGGGAGGGCAATTCCAATCAGAAAGCTGAGATAGGTAATTTAATTTTATGTTATGGTTTTGATTTTTGTTGAAGGGCATGAAAACAATTTTACTTGTTTTGATGGGTTCTGTAAATATATGGAAATTATGTTTGCGCTAGTTTGATATCTTTGTATTTGATGGTATCTCTTGAATGGTATGTGCCAAACTGTTATGTGGAGGGGTACAAAAGAATTAAACTGTGAAGTTGGAATCTTAATAGTGAACATGAATATTGTGGCTCCAAAATTTGAAAATTATACATGAGTAAATATGCTTTACGGAAATTGTTGACAAAATTGAACTGAATTATTGACCTTGGAGGACTAACGGACTAAAAAAACGCAAAGTATACAGATAGAGTTTTTTTTCCCTTCCTCTAAATTAGTAAATTATTGCAAGTGAATTCCTTTTGATTGACGCTTCCGCAAATGCATTACTTGTAACTTATAGACGAAGAAGAATTTGTTGAGCAAAAGGTCTAAAGTATTCTCTTCATGAACCATGAATATATACAAGTTACATTGTACAAATATGGTAAGGAATAATATAATTATTCCAGCATATTCTCTATCTTAATAAGATATATAATCTCCATATAATCTCCTAATATATTCCTATCACCCCCGTCAAACTCATGGTGGATCAAACACCGAGAGTTTGGAAAGTAGAAATTTGTGACGCTTGGAGGTGTGTGCTTTGGTGAAGAAATCAGCAAGCTGAAGCTCAGAATAAACATATGATAGAGAGATCGTCTTAGTCTTTGAAAAGTGATGCCGTATGAAATGACAATCAATCTCAATGTGTTTTGTGCGCTCATGAAACACGGGATTGGTAGCAATCTTTATTGCACTTTGATTATCGCAATAGAGAGGAGTCGAAGAGAGACAATCAATACACATGTCACGTAGAAGTTGTCGCAACCAGATAATCTCAGAGGTAGTATTAGACATAGATTGATACTCCGCTTCGGCACTAGATTTTGAGACGACATCTTGCTTCTTAGCTCGCCATGATATTAGAGTATCACAAAGAAATACACAAAACCGGTAATAGATCGACGATCGCTAATGTCGTCGGCCCAATCGGAGTCAGAGAAGGAACGCAGTTGTAGCTTTGATGTTGAGGAGAACAAGAGAGCTCTAGATGAAGTGCCACGAAGATAGCGTAGAATACGAAGTACAGCAGCATAGTGAGCTGATGTAGGAGACTAAACAAATTGACTCACCACATGAACAGCATAAGCAATGTCTGGTCGGGAAATAGTGAGATACACCAAAGCACTAACAATTTCACGATACCGAGTGGGATTTTCCAAGGGTTCTCTTGTATCAGGTGCTACTTTTTGATGGAGCTGAATAGGTGTGTCAGCGATCTGATCATCGGTCAACTCAGCTCGAGCCAAAAGATCAGAAATGTATTTTTTTTAGAAAGAAGATATACTCGTGGTCCATATGCAACTTTGAGTCCTAGAAAATATCGAAGATGCTCAAGATCTTTCATCTCAAAATTTTCATGCAGAGAGGTCTTCACAATATTCAGAAATGAAGGATAACTGTCAGTAATGACCATATCATCAACATAAAGAAGAAGAATAGTACGTCCTCGACTAAGATGTATGAACAAACATCGCATGATCAGCCTCACTCTGAATAAAGTCCATATTAAGTACTGCAGAGCTGAATTTCTCAAACCAGGCTCGAGGAGCTTGTTTTAGGCCATATAATGCACGGCGAAGATGACAGACTTGTCCTGACAAATGAGGAAGACCTTGAGGTGGTTGCATATAAACTTCTTCATGAAGATCACCATGAAGAAAAGCGTTCTTCACATCAAGCTGATAGAGAGGCCACTGTTGAGCAGCTGCAACAACAATAAGAGCTTGAACTGATGTTATCTTAGCCACAGGAGCAAAAGTCTTCTCATAATCAATCCCATATTCTTGGGTAAATCCTCGAGCAACTAGACGAGCCTTGTACCGATCTATTGTACCATCTGAACAAGTTTTAATTTTATAAACTCATTTGCATCTAATTGGAACTTTTCCTGGAGCTAATGAGACAAGATCACAAGTACCAGTCTTTTGAAGGGCGACTAACTCTTCCTCCATAGTTGCTTGCCACTCAGGAGAAGAAGCAGCCTGACGATAAGATGTAGGCTCATGATGCGAATGAATGGCTGTCAAGAAGGCATGAAAAGCAGGAGTAAATGATGAAGAAAGACAACCAAAGAATTGTTTTGCCTTACGAATACGGAAAGGATAGCGACGATCAGCTAGTGAAGAATCATCATCCGGGGACGAGTTTGAATGGTCAGTAGGTGAGACTGGAACATGTACACTTTGGTGATCATCAGAGGATGGAGATGGAGAGGAAGGTGATGAATCTACTGGAATCGAAGGTGTGGTAAGCTCAAGAAATGAAAGATCAACGGAAGTAGGTGATGTATTATTGTCATTGAGGGACTGTCTAGAGTAATATGAAAGATGCTCCAAAAAGGTCACATCTCGGGAAATGCGGAATCTCTTTTTATTTGGATCATAACAGGGATATCCTTTGTGCTCAAGACTGTATCCAAGAAAAACACAAATCGCAGAACGAGGAGATAACTTATCTCTCTCATGAGATGGTAATAGAACTAGACAAGTACAGCCAAACACACGAAGATGTGAATAAGAAGGACGACGTATGTCAATTTTTTAAATGGTGATATGCCAGAAAGAACTGAAGAGGGCATCAAATTAATGAGATACACAGCTGTAGTAACAGCATCAGCCAAAAATTGTTTAGGCATGGAACTAGAGATGAGTAATGATCTTGTAGTCTCCATAATATGACGATGTTTTCTTTCCGAAACACCATTTTGCTGATGTGCATAGGGACATGAAAGTTGTGAGAGAGTACCCTGATCAGCTAGAATTCGACGAAACTCATGAGAGAGATATTCACCACCAGAATCAGATCGAAAGGTTTTAATAGTAGTGCCAAACTGAGTTTTGATCATAGTAGTGAAATCTTTATAAATTTGAGGTAGAGATGAGCGGTGATGCATAAAATAAACCCAAGTGTAACGAGAAAAGTCATCAATAAAGATAACATAATATTTATTACCGTTACAAGACGACAAGGGGGCTGGGCCCCAAACATCCGAATGTACGAGTTGAAAAGGAAAGCTACTTTGAGAATCACTAAGAGGATAAGGTTTAGTGACGTGTATAGATAGTTTACATCCCATACAAGTAGACATACTTGAAATGGGATAACTACCCAAAACGCCATTATTTGAGTGAAGGCGAAGACGGTCAGTAGATAAGTGACCTAATCGATGATGCCAAAGATCTCCTGTGGAAAAAGCATCATCGCGAGTGGTGATAGTGTGTACGGCTACGGAATGGGTGGTAGAAGTGGATGGTAGTGTTAGATGATCCATAATGTAAAGTCCATCACGCCTATGTCACTGACCAATCAAGGCTCCGGTCTGACGATCCTGCACATAACAAGAAGTAGAGTCAAAAACCACACTACAATTATGATCAGTTATTTGACTAACTGAAAGTAAATTCAATGAAAGATGTGGTATGTGTAAAACAAATGGAACAGATAAGCGACCAGTAATAGATCCCTTATGTGTAGTAGAGAGAGAAGAGCCATTTGTTGTAAAAACATTGACTTGTGAATGTAAAAGTGATGGAGAGGATAAAACAGATGAATGTGGAGTCATATGAAATGAAGCACCAGAGTCCGAAATCCAAATATTTTTCGGTACACCTGTGGGACCAGAGGTAGTGGAAAAAGTATGACCAGAGGTACCAAATGGAGAGGGTGTCATGATACTTAGAGCAGCAACCGGAGAGGAGTTGTGGCACAGAAAGAGTAACACTCGAAGTAGATTCCTCAGGAGCAGTAGAACACTCATCAGCAAAAACCTTAGCACCAGAAATTGCCACATTAGCAGTGGATCGTTGACGAGGATGTCGGTTTTTAGCTTGTTGTCGCTTAAGACAATTTTGGATGATATGTCCAGGACGACGACAATACCGACAATAATTATTCCTTTATTTGTTAGAAGAGACTAATGGTGCGGAGACCGTGGCCGAAGATGACTGTGGTACAGATGATTGTTGAGCAACCAGAGCACCTTGAATAGAAGTAGTCTTTGTATTTAGGACACGTTGGCGAGTCTCTTCAGCGATGAGTTCGGCCAAGGCATCATCAAGAGTTGGTAGCGGTGATCGATGAAGAATTTGACTGCGCAATGACTCATACTCAGGTCGCAGACGCATCAAGAATTGAAATAGTCGATGTTGATCGCGAACACGACGCTGTTTGGTGGCACATGCACAAGCCGCGTTCCTCCATTATTGCAAGTTGGCGCCATTGAGCATGCATAAAGTTATAAAATTCTTGGATAGATCGCTCATCTTGTTGAGCAAGAGAGAGTTCTTGATAGACAGAATATTAGTGAGCATGACTAGATTGTTGATAAAGTCCTTGCATTTGGCGCCACATGGCAAGTGCAGTCTGGAGACTAACAAGTTGCATGCGTATGTCAATCTCTACGGAGGAAGAAATAATGTCATGTGCTCGGCGGTCTGCAAGAGCCCATGCCGTTGTTTGCTTAGTATCAGTTCTAGATTCAGGAGGCGGCGTGCCATCAGTGTGACTCGTGAGATCGAGAGCATAAAAAAGAAGTTGCACAGAAATCGACCACTCATGGTAATTGGTCCCTATGAATTTCACATCAAGCTGAGGAAACTTCTCAATAAAGTTTGCAGTCATGTTTAAAAATAGAACCCGAAGGTTTAGAATAAAACCCGAAGGTTTAAAATAGAACAACCCCGAAGGTTAAGATGAAACCTGATGGTTTAAAAATAGAACTAACTGAAGGTCAGTTAAAATAAAATAGAACTAACCCGAAGGTCAGTTAAAATGAACCCGAATGTTAAAATAGTTACTCGTGCCTCTTCCTCCTCTCAGAAATCTAGTAACCAAGCCCAACAACAGGAAGGCCCAAACCCAATCAAAGAGAAACAAAGGCCAATATAGTAACCAGGCCCAACAAAAAAAGAAGGCCCAAACCCCCAAAAAAAACAGCAGCAGATGCCCAAATGTCAAATGTTCTCTCTCAGCCTCCAATCTCGACTAGAAAAATTGAAGAGACTAGGGCTTCGTCAACGTTCGCCAACGTTCTAGAGAGGTTCTAGGCGGCGGCAAGAGTCGGATCTAGGGCTTTGCTGATAGATCTCGACGGCGGCGGAATCGGAGTCGGATGGATCTGGGTCGACTAGATCTCAACGGAGCAGAGGTGAGTCGAAGGAGCAGAGGTGACGGAGCAGAGGTGGGTCGACTAGATCTCGACAGCAACCCCACAACCAATCTTGACTGGCAACTAGATCTCGGTGGCGTTGAATTGAGGCGGCGAGGTTGGAGTCGACGCAGGAGAGAATTGACGGCGAGGGTCTGTGATGAGGGCCAGCAGGTTTGGATTAATTTTGAGATTATTGCTCTGATACCATGATAGACGAAGAAGAATTTGTTGAGCAAAAGGTCTAAAGTATTCTCTTCATGAACCATGAATATATACAAGTTACATTGTACAAATATGGTAAGGAATAATATAATTATTTCAGCATATTCTCTATCTTAATAAGATATATAATCTCCATATAATCTCCTAATATATTCCTATCAGTAACATCCTTGAGGTAAAAAAGAAAATAGTAGCTGTTGTTTTTCCTTTATGTTCACCGCGGATAGGCCACCTTCACTATTAGCACAAATGCGGATAGACCACCTGCAGCTAAATTTGTGCAGATAGATCCCCAAAGCGAACTTGTGGGCTTTTTAAAACAACTCATACCGGGGGCTCTATCCACACTTGGGAAAATAACACAGGGTCAAATCAGCACAAATTGAACTATAAAGGAAGTCTATTCATACTTGGGCCATAGTACTGGGAATTTATCCGCACTTAACCCTTTTCTTTATAATGGAAAGCAAGGAGATGATGAGTTTGTGTAAAAAAGCGTAGTACTTCATTTATGCAAGAAAATGCACACAAAAGCAATCCTTCCTTTGTTTCCATGATCAATCAGTTTCCATGATCAATCAGTTTATATGAACATGTGTCCACTGTACCACTTCTAGTCCCTTGGATTCCTTCTCCAAATACCTTCACCGGTGGATAAAAAGCTCGCGATAATACACAAAACAATCATTCAGGAAACTTAAAATAAAAAAAAATCAAACTTCACAAAACATGGAAACAAATAAGAACACACAGGATGCTATTAACTGCGTTCACAGTGCAAATAAAAGAATTAGCTCCATGTTCCTTTTGTCTTTGACATCAAATGATAATAACACAACAAGAGTTATCAAGAGATAACAGGAAAGATAATGCTTTTCATGTATAAAGAGTTAAAACATGAACACCAGATGCACACAAGTGGAAAAATAATGCAGTTTAGAAGAACCAGCTTCATTTGAGTTTTGCCCTTTGCAGAAATATTTACAACCACAAGCCTTTCTCTATATTTCTTTGCAAGCAGTTCCTCAGTTCTTCAACCATCCAAAGCAACCACATTTCTGAGAAATAAAAATAATTTTAAAAATAATAAATATCAGGTTGATGTATATCATGTATGAAGCCCGAAGTAATGGTGCACCATATACACATGATAACCCAAAAAGAGTGATATTAATGATCTGGAAAATAACTGATCAAATTTGGAACTAGATGTAATCAGCTAATATCCCACACATATGAATAAGATCCTTGGAAAATCTTACAAGCTTCAAATATGCTATAATGCCCTTCAAATTGGTATCTATAATTTTCTTTGTTCCTTTTATAATATCGACTGGACAAACCGAGGGTATGAACATCTATAATATAAACTCCTCATTCACCATGCATAAAATAAACTTCAGGTAAATCTTTTAGCCAACAAATAAACTGATAAAACCTATATTTTATAAGAGCCACACAAGGATTTTGACAGCAGATACAGATTCAGTTCCTCTACGATCAATTGCATCAAGCCGTCATACAAAAGCAAACCAAATCACTATAGTCAACTTGAAGTATGATATCTTTTTGTGTCAGGTTCATGTATGCAAGGCTGTTTATGTTAACCGTGACACTTAAGTTAAACAAACAAGATACAATAGTTTTCAAAAGATCTAATGTACGCTGTGTAGCTATTAGGAGCTAATGGACAATCTGTCATCCATAATCCTATCACAAAGTCAGAATCAAAATTGTTAATATCCAGATCTCACTAACTCATCAGGTTTGTGGTTCTTCAAGATACATCATAGATAAATCCGAGGGTTCATTGCAGAAAGATGCCCTGTACTATCGTCCAATTGTTGATAGACCCCTTATGGTTCTTTCGTTGAAATTTTTTGACTCTTTTACCGTCTAAAGAGAATTTTTTTTCTTTTAATTTAACATATAGACCCAACGATAAAAGAATTAAAAACTTCACTTAGGAGTAGAACTACAGGGGGTCTATCCACAATTGGGCGATAATTCAGGGATCTACGGAGTTCAACCTAAATCCCAACAATTCCATTTTCAAGAAAAGCTATAACAATGAAACAAACGAGAAGAAGATACTCACCGATGCCTCATAGTCGCTGTCTGACTTACTATTATTACGATGTGATGACTTCTTAGACCCAGTAGAAACTCCCGCTGAACCAACCTGCTTCTCCTCCCTCACTTTGCTAAAGATCTGCGTGTAACCGTCAGCTGATGAAGGATTGCTCTCATCCCAATCACCAAACTTTGGCACTGCCGATACTTTCTCTGGCTATTACCTCACAGATTCAATTCCATGTTATTCTAAAGACCATCCATACGAAAATAGAGTACTAAGAGAAAAGATAAATTGCACAAAACTACCATGAACTTTGGGGGCCTTACAAAAAACCACCATGCCTGAGCGCAGTGAAAGCAAGTCGTCACATGCTTCCCACGTGACATTTTTTTCACCAATTTTGCCCCTATGCACTTCTATTGCCCCCTTTCCCCCTCCTTCATGGATACAAATGAGGATAACTTATACTTTTTATCCAAGATGTTAATGCCGATAGCGCGACAATTTCGAATAGTTCACGGTATTTTTCTTCAGAAAGTTCATGGTAGTTCTGTGAAAAGATAAATTGCAGATAGACCCCCTGCAGTGTTGCTGTTTTGAACATCATATCCTCTAGTTTTGTTGTTGCATACAAACCCCAGGGTAAAGTTTTATCGGTTCTTTTACCCTCCAGGGTCTATTTGTCAAAAAATAATTCTCTTTCCTTGAGAGTAAAATTGTCAAAAAAAGTTACTCAGGGGGTCATCTGTAACAGCAAAACTATAAAGGGGTGGTAAATTTAAAACAATGATTCTACAGCAGTTTTATCCGCAATTAACCCTTTTGGGAAATTGACTAAAAAAAGAACAAATAGTATACCATATCGTCACCTCGACCACCAGGCCTGGCTCTAGATCGTCCAGGAGTATTAGGAGCTAACCCATTCCCTTTTTCCCATGAAGGAGAATTCATCCCTACCCTACCTCCATATTTTGGTTGATAATTGGGATGGAGAGGAGATTGCTCAAGGCTTCGCTCAGATCCAGCACTCGTTCTGCTTGCCCTTCGATTCTGATCACTGAGCTTTCGGGCCACGCTATCAGGGTGCAAGGGAGACCCAGATGGTAGACGGTTATGTTGAGGGTTTGTTTGGTTAAATGATTCTGGGTTTTCTTGAGGGTCATTTGGATTAATTAGCTTTCCAGCGATTTTCCCCTTTCTCCCAGTTGCCAAATTTAGGTACATGGGATTTCTGTAATCAAAGAAACCAATAGTTAGTAGCACGGTAAGGAATACATGCATTCTATTCCATGAATTTTATTGCTTAAATATATTCTAGTCTCATCTCAAATATTTCTTAGAAAACATTGGATATCACAGGATTATCCAAATCTTTGACCTCCACACCTACAGAATATAATTGCTTAATTACTTACCAGACATATTCCTCTTAGAGTCTTACTTCATCTTAATATCACTACAGCTTTTCTCCTAGTTCATTTGCATATAATTTTTCTCAAATAAAAATTAAAAATAAAAAAGAAGAAACTACCTTTTCATTATTTTAACAGTCCTTCTGATTTATTGTAATTAATGATTTAATCTAATTAAAAAAATTAACTGAAATAACTTCCATGGATCTAGTTCCTATTCTCAGTCTTATATTTGTAGAATTCTCCTGATTTTGGTTAACAAGTTTTGGCCAAACAACAACCATATTGATTGTTCCGAATGTAATGCATAGATACTGAAAATTGGTCCCGAGTTGGAACAATTTCTTCTAATAGATTTAGGTTAACAGTTCTTTGGTTTGGAGGTTTAAACAAAACTGCGGGGTTCTATCTATCAGAACTTAGAAGTATCTTATGTAGATCAAATCATTTACAATTCCACCCAAGAAAAGCTTTTATATGAGGTTCCTCCAGAGAAATTACAGAGGAAGGGAAAGTAGAAGAAAAAACATGCAGAAGATTAATTTGAGGTTGGGGTCCCTACATTCTCATCCTCAAGAACAAGAATGAAGTCCACCCAAAACAGCAAAGAAATAATATCAAACCCAAGACATCAACAAAATGTAATATCATCAATTAAAAAAAAAGAAACAAATATCGATATTGAAACTACCACAAAAGGATGATATCAATTATCTATCAAACAAACAAACAACATCTCGAGTAATTGCTCGATTAAACATAAAAATGTTTGGGACAGAGTATGCACAAGAGAGTAAAACTATCGAATTTCCTGACACAATTAAACAAGTAATCATATAGAAGATGCAAAATCATTTCTCAACCAAAATCATGCAAATTTCTCAATCTAAAACACGACAAATAATTAAAAAGGAGAGAAAATAAAACAACCAATCAAATAAACAGAGTTCAATGAACCAAAAAACAAGATGCTAAAAAAAAGAATAACACACAAAATCTCTCAATTCCGGTATCTTAAAGTAACAAGTTACAGAATATAATTAAAAACTATAAATTTTCATTGCAAGCTGCATACAGCAATAACTCAAATAAGCTCCTTCAACTGAAAACTCTAATTAGAGCTATAATTTCATCGAACTACAATAAAAAAATGAACAATTAAACAAAGTAGATTAACGACCAAACAAACCATAATATCTCATACAACACCAAAAGGGTCTCCAAATTATCTCCAAAATCAAGCTTTTCAAGATCCAAACAGCATAATATTACTAAATACTTCAAAAGAAGATTATTACTCAAAGCATCCCCACCTAATTCCAGTAATTAAAACAGAATTCCACGAAGAACAATACAAACAAAACAAGAACTAGAAGAACCCATGTGTAACAACCTACAGGATCACCATACAGCAGCTGAATCAGGAAAAACTAAAAGGCATAAAATTTCTGGGCAAAATCCCAACTTTGCAATTCAAACAGCAAATTATCAAAAACCCACATGTGAAACTAAGTTTAAAGGGAAAAAGAACTCACTGCCATCCAAATACCTCCCAGAGAAGAGAGAGATGTTCTCAAAAGGGACTCGAGCCCTCTCCCCTTTTTTAGAGAGAGAGAGAGAGTTTTAGGAGAGAGAAAGTTTGAAGTCAGTCGTTGTAGGCATTGAAGAACACCGCTGGCAAATTTTTTTTTTAAATTTTGGCTACTGAAGAAAACAATTTGGGTTTATTTTTTAGTTTTGACCTTTTGCTTTAATTTTCATTGTAGAAAACCAATATTAGAAACACTAGAGGCACACCCTTAAGTCACACTATCAACCACACCCTTCTCTATCTATAGTGTTTGTTGGGCCCCACATGTTTTACTAAAAAAATCATAAAGACACTATAGATAGAGAGGGGTGTGGTTGATAGTGTGGTTTAATGGTGTGCCCCTAACACTACTCAACCAATATTAAATTTCATGATTGCGTTTTTTGTCATCTCCTCTCGCACTTAAATAGCTAAAAATTACCGTAATTTTAAGGCTATACTAAATAGCACTTAAATACCTTAGGGTCCGTTTGACAAAAGGTTAAGAAATAGGGGTTAAAGAGAATAATTAATGTACTTAGCCCATTAGATATTCTGAAGGACTAAATTATTAACCCGTTAAATAAGTTTTATTTTAGCCTTTGTGATCAGTTTTAATGTTTGGGAATAACAATGATTTTGACTATTTTCTTTATAACTAGAAGATTTAATTCTTAATCCTTCTAAATAGGTGTATTAGTAAACCCCTTATTTTGAGGGGTTAACTCATTTTAATCCCTCTAAAGGGGTTAGCTTAACCCTTCTATATTTTTTATGTTTGGCAAATTATGAAGGGTTAACTCACTTTAATCATTGTATAGATTTTTTGTATTTGACGGGTTAAGAAGGGGTTAAGTCTTCTTAACCCCTCACTTAACCATTTGCCAAACGGTACCTTATAGTTTCACCCACTTTGCACTTACATATCCTCACTTATTTTTCTCAACAATTCTATATCATAAGTTGTTTAAAATTAGCAAGTTAGTACTTTTTATTATGCAAATGTGAAAATTTTCCTTGGTGTTTGCATAATGGAACTAACGTGCCAAGTTTAAACAATTTTTAACCTTGATATCCAAAAAATTTATTTTTGTCCAAAAAACATACCCAAGTTTTTGATACCCAAAAATGAATTTGCCAGGGGCATCAAAGTCTTTTTTTTTTGAATTTTGAGATACTTCTAAGCAAAATAAACTGAGGATGTAATACTTTCAAAATAAAAAAGACTAAGAAATTCAAAGTCAACTGAGACAAAAAGTTCCATTGTCATTTATATCAGCATTACTGTCTGAGCTGGGATGTAATACTTTCACTTATCAGGAACGTAAGTGCAAAACCAAAGCATTTCCAAACGTACAAGGGTGGGTAGAAGTCGTTGGGACGAGTTGACGGCGGCTTTACACCGACAAAACTTACACGCACCCAATTTCTACACGCACCCACGTTCACTCGCATGCTGACAAGTGGGTCCCCGCGAAGGCTAAATGGCTCTCGCTCGTGGAAGTGCTCCGGACGTGTTGGGAGGGGTAAGGGGGTTTAATCTTTCCTTATACTTCCCAAACAATAGAATTGATACAAGGATCGACGAAGACGAGATAACCGAAAGTTGAATCCTAACTGCGCGGGTTTACTATTCCGCGAAGGTAGGGATATCAATTTTAACACATACCCATTTACTCATCTAATCCGTCCATCATTTGGTCCGTCCAACGCCCACCCATTTAATTAAATGGAGCTAATGGGACGGGTTCATTTTATATTATTCTAAATGGACACTAAGTGGGCAGTGTTTATTCGCCCGTTTGCCCGCCCACCGTATTCCCAAAACCAAAACAGACCGATCCCAAATTCCCAATCTCCTCTTTCTCCTCCGCCTCAATCCCACTCCCAATCTCCTCCGCCTCCTCCTCCGCCGCCGCCTCAAGTGCCTTTCGAACCCAAAACCTACGACGCCAATCGATCCTCCTGTTGGAATCATGACATACAACGCAGCGGAAAAAGCATATCATGACTATTAATCTAAATTAATTGAATATTAGAAGAATACCTGAAACGCTTTCCGAATTTCTACAATAATCTGTCCCGAGATCAATCCAAAATAGCTTCCTCAAGAGAAAAAGCCTCCAATTGAAATCCACCCGTCACCGTAGAGGAGCAATACTGAGAGATAGGTTCTCAAAAATCTATTTCTTCATATTATCTTCATAAGATTTTGAATCTCTTCTCTTAACCTCTCATAAGGCTACATATGAACCCTATTTATAGGATTACACTAGTCTTAGAGATTTTAACTTTAAACAATTCATAATTATCACTGGTTCTTGGTTAGACGGGATTCCTTGTGAGTTGCCTTCTTTTTTTCCCTTTATTGCTTTTTTGTATTGTTGTGGGCTACATATTTTATCACAAAATATTAATATTATTTTTTCTTATTAAATGCAGCTCTGGCAGACATTGAAGAAGGAAATTTATTAGTACATGATTTCAGTAATCTAGAGGTTTCTGAATCGGAAGGCGAAAGTGATTAAGGTAAGATTTTACTTGTTCCATGAAATTAGTGTACATCATAAACTTGCTTTTCTAATGTTGTTGGCTAAATATTGATTGTTGTTCTAATATGTATTTATTTCTCACAAGTTTATGTTTCCTACCAAAAGTTAGAAATTCTGAAGTAAGAATGAAATGTATGTGATCAGCAGACATGGGGAATTTTTAAGAATCAAATCTCTGATGCAGCTAGGTACAGTGATTTGTTTTCATTACTTGATTGACATTTGAAAGATTACATACTATATTCAGAAACTTCATTAAATAGAAAAGTTTGTTTACTGATCAGGAATGTGCATTCTCTACTTCACAGCAGTCTATTTAGATGGTTAATTCATGATCAGACAATAGTTATCGTGTTACATTTAACTAGTGTATTGGTACAAGAGAGATGAACAAAGTAGAGGCCAAAAAGATACAAAGAGATTCTAATTGTTCCTCTGCCTATATTATATGTTGAGGAGAACAAAGTAGAGGCCAAAAAGATACAAAGAGATTCTAATTGTTCCTCTGCCTATATTATATGTTGAGGAATACTAATTGAATTAGCAGAAAAGAAGCGTAGTTAGTTTTTTATGCTGAGAAATGTGTTTAACGCGGAAAAAGAATTACCGTGGAGGCCGAAAAATGTATATGATAGATAGATTAAGGTTAATCAAAACGCCCGTCATAGAGTAGAATGCTATTTTGAGAATATTAGCTATTATGTTAATGGTGCAATCTTCACTCTTCTAAGAGTAGAATGATATTTTGAGAATATTAGCAGATAGACTTTGTATTCGAATAGATGTTTCAGACACTGATATGATCACCACCGTCAGTAAGTGCATCATATCCCTGGCCTTGCTTTACGAAAGCGTTGGTTTCAAGCAAGATGACGAAGCCAAACTTAAAAGTCTAGTCATCTCCTTGTGTGCAATTTGTGAAGTCCTAATATCTCATGCTAGCTCATTAGAAGTATCTTGTTTAGGCAACTACCTTGTTCAAACATCAACAACCAAATCATATCAGAGTGCATTTCAAGGCAATCATCATGTATGATTTAGATTCATTCTATAGTTTTGGGTATCACATTGCTAGTGAAACAGCAGATATCTCCATATTAAAACCTGTAAGGCTGTAACATAGTGAAACAAGGAGCCAATACAGAGGATTATTAAGATCCTCATCATGTTTGTTGGTAAGAGATTCTTCACGTGTCGGTCTTTGTCGACGACGGTATCCTATTTAGGCCTCTTTGATCTATATTGTTTTTCCAGCAGAAATTGTCCGATCAAATTGCAAGAATAGCCTGTTTACGCGTAATCATTGAAAGGTTGATATAGTTGAGAGTCGAAGATTTTCTGAGTAGCCAGTGACATGATTATCATTTTGATTCTGTTATTCTGAAACCAACACTCAATTAAATCCAAACTCCTTAATTGATACATTTGTCAGGGAGTATGTTTGCTAATGTGGAAAGTTCTCTACTATACAGAGATGTAGATTTTTTTGGGTAATTTTAATATCTATTTTGCTTTGTGATACGTTCTCTACTATACATAGTTTGATTCTGTTCTTCTGAAACCAACAGACATCTTTCATTTAATTTTCATTTTGTTGCCTTGGTCCATTATAACTCATTTGTGCTATGCTGATTCTGTTATTCTGAAACCAACAGACATCCTATTTAGTCCTCTGGTTCCCAAAGATCGCATCTTGCTATCTAGTGTTTCATTATTATGACAATATCATACGTTTGTGACAAAATTAACTAATTCTATGGATGATTGATGCAGGGGAAATATTGAGGTCTCTATGGTGATTTCGGATTCTAACCCTTGCTATGAAGACGCACATATGAGGCTTGCTGCAGTACTTTTAATGTTGCTATTGAGTCCAACTGAGTGTTATGTTTGTTTCCTGGTCTTTTCTTTCTTCTGTCATGATCCTGTTCATGCCTGAACATTTGAAAGATGAGAAATAAGTGGACTGTGGTTGTGCTACTATTTTGTTTATAAACGAACATACTACTCTTCTAGTTTATCAAGTAATTAAGTAGATTGTCCTTACTAATCGTGATTGTGTTGCTGATAGTTATGATGGCATTTATATCAAGTTATTGATCTTATACAGATCCTTGCATACCTTGTGTTTTCTATCTTAATTCATTTAAATATTCTTGTAATTTTGTTGTTATTGATCTTTTGGTTTTTGGTTTGGAAATTTGAGGTTAATTTTGCAAATGTGTGAGGTCTGTACTTTTATCCAGGCTTGTAAATGGTTCAATCATGAATTTGTCTGCATTTGTTTATCTTTGTTTATGTTCCTATCTTTGTTAGTATTTTATCAAAAGTCCCAACAAATTTGCAAAAAGCTCCCAAAAAGTTTGCAAAAAGCTCACTATAGTTTACAAAAAAAACCCCTAAAAGTTTACAAAAAACACCCCAAAAGTATTATATACATATAGCTACTATAGTTAAATGGGCAATTGGGCGGCCCGTTTATTAAATGGGCGGGCAAAAACCCGCCCATTTAAATAATGTTAAATGGGCCATAAATGGGTAAATGGGCAAAACATGCCCGCCCATTTATGGCCCGCCCATTTAACACCCAAACCCACCCATTTAACATCCCTAAAAAGATACAAAGAGATTCTAATTGTTCCTCTGCCTATATTATATGTTGAGGAATACTAATTGAATTAGCAGAAAAGAAGCGTAGTTAGTTTTTTATGCTGAGAAATGTGTTTAACGCGGAAAAAGAATTACCGTGGAGGCCGAAAAATGTATATGATAGATAGATTAAGGTTAATCAAAACGCCCGTCATAGAGTAGAATGCTATTTTGAGAATATTAGCTATTATGTTAATGGTGCAATCTTCACTCTTCTAAGAGTAGAATGATATTTTGAGAATATTAGCAGATAGACTTTGTATTCGAATAGATGTTTCAGACACTGATATGATCACCACCGTCAGTAAGTGCATCATATCCCTGGCCTTGCTTTACGAAAGCGTTGGTTTCAAGCAAGATGACGAAGCCAAACTTAAAGTCTAGCCATCTCCTTGTGTGCAATTTGTGAAGTCCTAATATCTCATGCTAGCTCATTAGAAGTATCTTGTTTAGGCAACTACCTTGTTCAAACATCAACAACCAAATCATATCAGAGTGCATTTCAAGGCAATCATCATGTATGATTTAGATTCATTCTATAGTTTTGGGTATCACATTGCTAGTGAAACAGCAGATATCTCCATATTAAAACCTGTAAGGCTGTAACATAGTGAAACAAGGAGCCAATACAGAGGATTATTAAGATCCTCATCATGTTTGTTGGTAAGAGATTCTTCACGTGTCGGTCTTTGTCGACGACGGTATCCTATTTAGGCCTCTTTGATCTATATTGTTTTTCCAGCAGAAATTGTCCGATCAAATTGCAAGAATAGCCTGTTTACGCGTAATCATTGAAAGGTTGATATAGTTGAGAGTCGAAGATTTTCTGAGTAGCCAGTGACATGATTATCATTTTTCACTACTGGGTGTATAATTTTGACTTAACATCTGTTGCCTTAGCAACCGCCTCAATTAAATCCAAACTCCTTAATTGATACATTTACCAGGGAGTATGTTTGCTAATGTGGAAAGTTCTCTACTATACAGAGATGTAGATTTTTTTGGGTAATTTTAATATCTATTTTGCTTTGTGATACGTTCTCTACTATACATAGTTTGATTCTGTTCTTCTGAAACCAACAGACATCTTTCATTTAATTTTCATTTTGTTGCCTTGGTCCATTATAACTCATTTGTGCTATGCTGATTCTGTTATTCTGAAACCAACAGACATCCTATTTAGTCCTCTGGTTCCCAAAGATCGCATCTTGCTATCTAGTGTTTCATTATTATGAGATTTTCTGAGTAGCCAGTGACATGATTATCATTTTTCACTACTGGGTGTATAATTTTGACTTAACATCTGTTGCCTTAGCAACCGCCTCAATTAAATCCAAACTCCTTAATTGATACATTTGTCAGGGAGTATGTTTGCTAATGTGGAAAGTTCTCTACTATACAGAGATGTAGATTTTTTTGGGTAATTTTATGAGTCCAACTGAGTGTTATGTTTGTTTCCTGGTCTTTTCTTTCTTCTGTCATGATCCTGTTCATGCCTCAACATTTGAAAGATGAGAAATAAGTGGACTGTGGTTGTGCTACTATTTTGTTTATAAACGAACATACTACTCTTCTAGTTTATCAAGTAATTAAGTAGATTGTCCTTACTAATCGTGATTGTGTTGCTGATAGTTATGATGGCATTTATATCAAGTTATTGATCTTATACAGATCCTTGCATACCTTGTGTTTTCTATCTTAATTCATTTAAATATTCTTGTAATTTTGTTGTTATTGATCTTTTGGTTTTTGGTTTGAAAATTTGAGGTTAATTTTGCAAATGTGTGAGGTCTGTACTTTTATCCAGGCTTGTAAATGGTTCAATCATGAATTTGTCTGCATTTGTTTATCTTTGTTTATGTTCCTATCTTTGTTAGTATTTTATCAAAAGTCCCAACAAATTTGCAAAAAGCTCCCAAAAAGTTTGCAAAAAGCTCACTATAGTTTACAAAAAAAACCCCTAAAAGTTTACAAAAAACACCCCAAAAGTATTATACATATATAGTTACTATAGTTAAATGGGCAAATGGGCGACCTGTTTATTAAATGGTCAGGCAAAAACCCGCCCATTTAAATAATATTAAATGGGCCATAAATGGGTAAATGGGCAAAACATGCCCGCCCATTTATGGCTCGCCCATTTAAAATCCATACCCACCCATTTAACATCTCTACGTGAAGGGTATGCGTTGTGATTAAATCAAAAAATAGAAAGAATATATTTCCATATAACTAATTTACAATGGAAGGAAAGATATTATTAGAATTGGTGGGAGATTTCCTCCTTTCCCATGAAAACTTAATGCGTCGCTGGTCATTGATTTGGGGTCTCTGTGATTAAACCATCTTGTAAAATTTACATATATGGCATGTTTGGATGGAGGGTAGAAAGAGGGAGGGGAAGAGAAATCTAATTTTAATCTTATTTGGGAGTTCCATTGTGAGGCACGAGTACTTCGACTGCCTCTGATGCTGCTATTCCTAGCCATGGCGAATCTCAAGAAGAAGAATCAGAAGAGAAATCGGAAGAAGAAGAGAAAGATAGAGATATGAGACAGAGAAAAGATGTATCAATAGAGGAAGAGAACTGATTATTCATTTCATATCGTATTCTTTGTACAACACTGTATTTATACATCCTGTAATTGAGAGCTAAGTTTGTGCACGTGCACAACAGAGCTGAACTAACTTGTAACAGAATGTAACAGAATATGGACAATTAGTTATATACAGTTGATTGTAACTATTTATTACAGTGTGTGATCTTTTATGTTCTCTTCCTTTTGCATTCCAGTCCAACTATTTGTGTATCAGTTGCATATCAGTCCAAGTGCTTCAAAACTGAACCTGTGCTTCAAAACTGAACCTGTACTTAGCCGATTCAGTACTCTTGAGCTGCTGCAGCACCTGACATCCATTTAGGACGATAGAGGAGGTGAATGAGGAGAAAATTTAAGCCAAAATCTTACAACCCAAATTGAGGTGTAATGAAGAGGAAGGAAAGGATGTGGAACTTTTCCCCTTCCTTCCCTAAGTCATCTCCCAAACACACTGATATATAAGTGGTGATCAATATCCCTTCAAAGTCAAAGGTATATTATCCATATATTTAGAAAGCATATGATATGTAATATTCTCCTAAAGGCTACGTTATTTTCGTCCTCATTTGTTCAGAAAATATATGGTACATAATATGTGAAACAAAACTATTAATCTAATATAAGCAATTCAAATATATTGATTTAGATGAACGAGTTTATACCCATATTTGCCATACATTTAACATCTGTTGTAATATTCTGAATATTCACAATTTTTGAAATTTCGACATCTCAATCTTATTATTCACCAATAATTTTATATAACTGTTCCTCAGTCAAATTATTATTATTATTATTATTTGGTATTTGCTAAAAGTTAATTACAAAAGTTTATTTTAGTTGATCTTGAAATATGCTTTTGGTATTTACTATTTTTTTATTTTTTATTTTGCTTCTCAACAACCATTTATTTAAATATTACATATATTAGAATACTACTTCTCTAATTTATGTGACTGCAAATTCATGTTCTATTTATTTTGGTAAAATAATAATTATTAAACTTTTTCTAATTTTTATAAGGTTAAAGTTATTATATTCTTAAACTATAGAGGGATTAATCTCCTTAAAACTTCTTTTTTTACTAAAGGCAAAAAAGCTAATCCTTCACGTTAGCTATGTAGTCCAAAGATAATCTAGTTAAGAGGCTTTTTTTTAATTAAAAAAATTGATCTAATCATGGGCCAGATTTTACCTAACATATTTTAAACTCTTAGCAAGGTTAATTTCAAGTTGCGAAAGAGGTCCTAACTATTTAAAACTAATCCAGTATACAAAACTAAATCAAGGTTAATTTCAAGTTGCGAAAGAGGTCCTAACTATTTAAAACTCTTTTTTACGCTTAGACATTCACATTTGACAACTTCTTAAAATTAACCTAGTTTCATTTTAAAGAGAAAAATGCTTATCAAAACTAAATCAAGATTGGTCTAGTTTTCCCTAGGCCAAAAAATGACTTGTAAACTAGTTTTTTTGGACTAATTCTTTCTTGATTTACAATTAAATCAATTTAGAATGTGTTTAGCAACTCTTAAAAATGAGGTCAGGTTCAAACCTAATGTCATTTTGAGAAAAATATCTACTTGGGTAAAACTAGGTTAATTCCCTCGTGATTTACAATTGAATCAATTTAAGGTGTCTTTGGCAACTCTTCAAAATGAGGCCAGGTTTAAGCCTCGCATCATTTTGAGAAGTAAACCTATTTGAGTAAAACTATGGCAACATTGATCTAG